TTTTAATTTAAGTATTTTCCATTTTACATATACACTTCCATAAATTAAAAGGAATGAAGTTATTATAGTTAATATATGCAAATCGTTATCAAATCGTATATTTTCCTTTTCTTCCATTACATGCGTGCGATATATATAAATATATAAACTATGTTACATGCGTTATATGCGTCTCTAATTATTTTTCCCTAGCAAATTTTAATTGAACCTAAAGCCGTCACGTCAGTTTAATTGATATGCTAATTGATTGACAACTAAGCAAGGTTACTTTTTAATTAATACAAACTTGAGGTTACATCTTTTCAAATGTTTCTCAATTAATATATAGGGGATTAATAGTGAAAATTCAGTTTCTAATAACTTAACCTCCTTGATTATCCTCTACTTTACAAATTTTGTTTGGAAAGACCAGTACAAACTGATGTATATAAAATCAAAAATTTCTCCCCTAAAAGTATGCAGGAGGGACTTTTATTGACACCAAGAAACGACGTCGTATGGTGTAAATATATTTTTTTTGGAAAAAGGAAACAAGTTATGTTTGGTTTCAAGGGTCATCGAACACGGACATGTGTCTAACAAGTTTAAGTTTAATAAGAATAGTGGTTTAGCCGCTAAACCGAGTTGAATCATCTGTTAGTATGGTGTAAATATTTAAAAGAAAGCGTTAACAACAACATTTCGGTTTATGAAATTAGGGTCAAACATCTCACGACACTGTTTCGATTTGTGAAATTAGGGTCAGAACGAATAAGGGAACAAATTCAAAAGACGCCGCAGCGAACGAACAGAGAGAGAGTATCGAGAGTGAGTAGTAAGCGATGGCTGATTTGGACATGGTTGATATTCGGAAACGATATGAACGGGTCTGTCAAGATTTTCCGTCTGATCTCAAACGTGAATACCAAGATGTATACCAAGACATAGAATATTTAAATCAAAGAGTGTCTGAAGTTGAAGGACAGTTTCACCAATGTGAGTCTGCATGTTTGTCTAATTTGTTGCTAATGAAGACTGTATTACAATTTATTCCAATTAGCAGCTGTGTAAACATTATTTTTCCAATCTTTTTCCCCTCACAGGACGATTCTAAAGAGCTGAGGGATCTATTAAACAATGCTGCGACGATTATGGGCGGTCGAGCCTATAATATGATAGAGGAGGCTGCATTCGAGATTGATACTTTGAATAATCTCGAGGCTGAGTTCACTGCGGTCAAGACTGAGTGAAAATTGATAGTGAAAATTCAATTCCTAATAACTTAATCTCCTTAATTATCCTCTACTATACAAAATTTGGGCATACTTAAAAGTTCTCAATAAGCTCTGTTATGTAGAAAATCACTTATAGCATATGCAACCATGATTCCATGAAAAAGATTTGCATTCACATTAGCCATATGTTTGATTCTGTTTAATTTTGTTGATTTGACAAATAAGAAAATGATATTATTCCTAAATTAATCAAGTACTTTTCATTGACAATGAACTTGCACAAGGTTTGTCTTTAGTACTTACACAACAAATAATGTGTGTAGCTTATTTTTAATTTTTTCTTGACAAGAAAATAGTATGAATCATGCATGGAATCATGGCAGCATCTGTCATAAGTGATATTGATACATGTCATGGGGCTGTTGAATGTGTGTAGCTTATTGTTTTATTGTTTAACTTTTCCAACAATTTAAACTTAAAACTAAGTGTAATAGTATTATTAAGTGTAGAGATATTGTTTCCATTATGAAACCTACAATATTAAAAATGAAGAGAAACTATGTAAACGTGATATACATGATTTACAAATATGTTCTCATAACTATGATACATCGACATTTTAACTTTTTTTTTTTGGCATCCCATCGACATTTTAACTAAAAATTCGAAAACTTAAATTTTTTTGTTAAAAAAATTAAATTCAAAACTTTCAGTAATAATGCCATTTGGAAAATTATCATGGTTTGAAAACCAGATCATATTGGCCGGTCAAACCGGTCCGACTGTGACTCACTGAAGAAACCAAGTCCAGTTTGGTTTTAAACTAGACTTTGAGAAAAAAAAAACCCAGCAAAACCCCGGTTAAACCAATGACTAATGTCAATTTTAAAATACGGTTTAAAAATCAACATATAACAAATGTGTTTTCAGTTATTATTAAAATTTAATATTTCATGACCACATGTTTGACTATTACTATTTAAATGATTTTCTGTTGGATTCTATTTTTTCTTAAGAAAAACTGTAAGCAAATATATTTTTGGTTTCATAAATTATTTTTATTTTGACATATTCATAAAATATGAGATTTTAGTTGTAAAAATAAATAAATACGATAATTTAAACAATCCATAGTTTAGGTTTTATCAATTTTAATTTTATATAATATTCAATTGTTTATTGTATATACAGTTAGATTCAAACCTACTATTTATTTTAACTAATAAAAAGAAAAGAGAATATCTTACATATAGAATTATTTTCAAATCTATATAATGTAAATATACGATCATATATATTTAATTTTCTACAAATAGAAAATTTCGTTCGACCGATTAAATCAATTCAATTTGTAACCTGTAGCTATATTGAATCAGTGTCCGATCTGGTTTTCGAAACATCACCAAATATCAAGTCAAACTTCCCTTACGTACATTCTCTTACTTTTCTTTTGTAACTCTAACGTAGATTCTCTTACTTAGTAAGTCATTTTTAAAAATTCATATTATTTTAAATGTTGACACTGATCAAAACGGACAAGGAAATGACTAATCATAAACGGCCAAGAGTATTTAAAAGATTTTGTCAAATCAGCACTATTATAATTTCCAACTGTTTAAGGAAGTAAATATTGAAATATTAAATAGTTTTTGTTCCATGGTCAAGAGTCATTTAAAACAAAATCCTTCCAAAGTAATTAAAATCCAATGACTAAGCGTACTCAATAAAAACTCGACACGTGTATTTACCACCATTTAGAATCCAGCATTTTCCTGTAATTTCACTAATGCCTAGAGCTATATATATATGTTCTCGTTCAGACACAAGGATAACATTCACACAAACGTTGTGTCTAGTAGAGAGGGAGAAGACAAAGAGATAATGGCGTTTAAGGGTTTCACGTTGTTTTCGATCCTGGTCTTATCTTTGTTCGCTTCCTCTATAAGAAGCGAACAGACAGAGACTAGGGAGTTTGTCTTGACTCTAGACCACTCTAACTTCACCGAAACCATCAACAAGCACGACTTCATCGTCGTCGAGTTCTACGCTCCTTGGTAAGAGATCTGAACCCTTTCTACGTTGAGTTCAATCTTGACATAGATCGTGTCTTGATGATGTTAAGAATCTCAATTTCATTTTGTAACCCTATTTTTACTATTCTTTCAGGTGTGGACACTGCAAGAGCCTTGCTCCTGAGGTAATATATGGTCTTTTAAATATTGAAAAATTCAGTCTATATTAAATGTTCTTGTTAGTATTTATATAAATTTTATAGCTTCTAATAAGAGAGATATCTGTAAAAAATTTAACATTATTTATGAAAATTTTATTGATATATATATTTGTGTAAGTGTATCGTTAAATTTTAGAATTCTTTTTTACTGATTATATTCTAATGAATATATTAATGGCTAGATTCATGACTAACGTTGGTGATATTTGATAACAGTACGAGAAGGCTGCATCTGAGTTGAGTAGCCATAACCCTCCACTTGTCCTAGCCAAGATTGATGCTAGTGAGGAATCAAACAAAGGCATTGCAAACGAGTACCAGATTCAGGGCTTCCCCACGATCAAGATTCTGAGAAATGGAGGCAAATCGATCCAAGATTACAACGGACCTCGTGAAGCTGATGGTATTGTCTCTTATGTCAAGAAGCAAAATGGACCTGCTTCAGTTGAGATTAAGACAGCTGCTGGTGCTTCTGAAGTTGTCGGTGAAAAGAATGTTGTTGCTGTAAGTGCCTCTCATCTTATTCTCCTTTTTTAAAAATGTTTTATCAACTATTTTTAAGAATGTTGTTGTTTTATCATGTTTTATCAATTATTGCATGAGATATAGGGATTGAAACTATTACTAAATAACCGATACATATATATATATATATATATATATATATATATAATATATATATATATTTTAATTAACTTGGAGACCGAATAATATGTACATATTAAACCACTAATATTTTGGGAGTTATAAACGAATTTTTCATCTCGAAATGTCCAGGACTGGCTATGTTTGCAGCAAACTAATTGTCTATTTATGTTGTTTTAGGTTGGTGTGTTCCCTAAGTTATCTGGTGAGGAGTTTGATTCTTTCATGGCCTTTGCTGAGAAAATGCGCGGTGACTATGATTTTGCACACACTGTGGATGCCAAGCTTCTTCCTCGTGGAGACTCATCTGTGGCAGGACCTTTCGTGAGGCTATTCAAGCCTTTTGATGAACTGTTTGTTGATTCCAAGGTACAAAGAGAAACTTGTGTTGTACGTTACCATCAATTAAATAACGTTGCATGTTGTTTAACTGATATTCTAATATTGAATATAGGATTTCAATGGGGAAGCTCTAGAGAAGTTTATCAAAGAATCAAGCATTCCACTTGTCACCGTCTTTGACAGTGATCCAAGTAACCGCCCATATGTTGCATCATTCTTTGAAAGCTCTGCTACTAAGGTATAACTTGTTACATGCATGTGTGTTTGGACGTTGTAGCTTTTGACATTACTCTTAATGTTGAAAGTCTTCTATATGATCTTTTGGTTTTGATGGGTTGTAGTAATATTTTGGAAATTCAGGTAATGATGTTTGTTAACTTCACTGGAGAATCAGCTGAATCTCTAAAATCAAAGTACCGTGAAGTTGCTACTTCCTACAAAGGACTAGGTCTTGCCTTCCTTGTTGGTGATGCTGAGGGCGGCAAAAACGCTTTGGAGGTTAATTACTATTTCATTTTTTTATGTCTCTCTTAATTATTTCTTGTGCTATATCACTAATCATAGTTTTTCTTCGGTTTAATAGTACTTTGGACTTGAAGAGAGCCAAGTTCCCCTTGTCATCGTCCAGACTCCTGATAACAAGAAGTACTTGAAAGCAAACGTTGTGGTTGAGGAGATCGAATCATGGATGAAGGAGTTCAAGGTTTGTTTCATTCTCTTTACACACATTCTCCTGATTTTTTTTTTAATGTAGAAAAGCTAGGTAGAATCGTAGAACCTAACGTAAAGAACACGTTTTCTTCCAGGACGGGAAAGTTGCTGAGCACAAAAAATCTCAACCTATTCCAGCTGAGAACAACGAGCCAGTGAAGGTTGTTGTAGCTGAGACCCTTGACGAGATGGTTGTCAAGTCTGGAAAGAATGGTGAGCACATTTTAAAATTTATTAGTCGTTTTTAAACAAAAACTGATACAAAACATCAATTTTATATGTTAGTCTTGATTGAGTTCTATGCACCATGGTGTGGACATTGCAAAAAAATTGCCCCCATCTTGGACGAAGTGGCTTTGGCGTTCCAGAACGACCCAAGTGTAGTCATAGCAAAACTAGTAAGCTCTATGTTTCTTTCTTGTTCTACATGTAATTAAAACCCACTTTAATAGTAATGTTTCTTAACAACAAATGTATGTGGGTGTACAGGACGCAACCGCAAATGATATCCCAAGTGAACCATTTGATGTGAAAGGCTTCCCGACCATTTACTTCAGATCAGCGAGTGGAAACGTTGTTGCGTACGAAGGAGACAGGACAAAGGAGGACTTCATAAGCTTCATTGAGAAGAACAAGCCAACAGCTACTCATGTTGAAGAGACTACTCCTACTACTAGTGCCAAGATTGAGGAACCTAAGAAGACTGATGCATCGGCCACAAAGGACGAGCTTTAAAACTCTTGTTTATTTTTGAAATTTGAGTAGGAGCTTTATTCTTATTCTCCCTATATACCCATCAGAGTTTTTTCTTATATAATAAAATAAAATTATAAACTTTTTCTGGTTTTCTTTTTCTGTCATTGGAACTAACTTGGATCGAATAAAACCTATAAGGACAATTTCAGCAGTAGTTTGAAGTCTCTCACAATTAAAATTAATAGTATAAAATATAGAAAATGAAGAGATGAAGGAGAAATTTCTCATTGCGGGACTTAAACAATGGGGAGAAACTTGTATTAGTTTTTGGCTCTGTGTCATTATTTTAGTTTTTCCTTTATTTAAAGTTATAATATTACTCTATATAGTAAAAATAACGAAAGTTGACATAGAGCCAAAAACTAATACAAGTTAGTATTACTATGATATTAATATAGAGTAATATTATAACTTTCGTGAGAAAAATGTATTAGTTAGTTCATTAATATAGAATAATACTATGATATTAATATAGAGTAATACAGTCTGCTGCATAATGCATAGTAATAATAACGAAAACATAGTGGAAGATCATTAATTCTTACTGAAAACATTTTATATAATTTTTCTTTTCTTTTTATTTATTTATGGAGCACTATTTCTCCAACTAACTAAAAAACAACAAATCCCACGAGATTTTGTATGACACTGCTGAAATGCAATGTACTGGTTGTCAACTGACAACACACTATAAATCATAAGCTCGCACCAAATCTTCGTAAAATCAAATAAGTACACGAATCAATCATTCTAGTTCCTTTAGCTTAAAGTGGTATCGTGATTCACGTGGACGCTAGTACCTGAATGATTAGAAAAATATTATGATCACGATTCACCACCCATTTTACATATTATAGTCTTGTGTCATCATCATTTTTCGCTTCTTTGAATGATTAGAAAAGTATGAAAACTTGCAAATGGGACTAATTAAATATATATTCCATTCTATTGGCTGGAATTCAGAAATCAACCTTTGGTTGAATTCTATTTTGTACGAAAATTATGTATTTACAAATATTAATAGTTACGTGATTAAAGTCATTTTATAGATGTAATGATTTATATTTTTCTTTGAAAAGCTGTAACGTATTTATTTTTAACTTTTGACTGTTTTGTGATATTTTGGTAATTTCATTTTCTTGGAAAAATATTCTGGTAATTTAGTTGTAAATGTTCATTTTCCAAAATTTTAAAACATGAATTATTTTTCAAGATTTTAAACATTTAAGATTATTTTTTTTTATTTTTCCTTATTTTAGGAACTAGCCTACTATTCCCTTCTCCTCTTTGGTGATGGACTACACTCCACTCCGTGATTCCATTAACATTACATGTTGACATTATTATTATTATTTTTTGATAAATACATGTTGACATTATTTTCTTAAACAAATGAGTGTACAGATATTATCACCTCGATAATCTCCACAAATAAAAAATAAAATATTGGCCATACCTCGTAGTCGGGTGGAGGCAGTTGGTCATCAAATCAAAACTCGAAACACTTGGCTTTGGCCTTTGTCTTTTTTTTTTCCCCTATAAAATGGCAATAAGTATGAGCGTTACAACCACACTCTCAAGCAAACTCTTCTTTCAATCTTGTAACCCAACAACAATAATGCCAAACCATCTTCAAGAGCCCTTACCCACTTACCCTAAACCGGTTTTAACCAAAGAAGAGCAAAAAGTCGACGAGAAGATGGTGAGCTTGCAAGCTGAGTGTATTGTCAACACCGTGGCTTTCCCCATGGTTCTCAAAGCCGCCTTTGAGCTTGGTGTCATCGACACAGTCGCTGCAGCAGGCGAAGGCGCGTGGCTCTCACCGTATGAAATAGCTCGTAGTCTCCCAACCAAACCAACCAACCCGGAGGCGCCAGTGTTGCTTAACCGGATGCTGCGGTTACTCGTCAGCCACTCTATTTTGAAGTGCCGTATGGTTGAAGGTACCGAAAACGGTCGAACCGGAAAGATGGAGATGGTTTATGCAACCGAACCGGTTTGCAAGTATTTCTTGAAAGATAGTGACGGTTCTGGTTCTCTCGTTTCTCTATTTATGTTGCTCCAGAGCGAAGTGTTTTTCAAGACTTGGTAGGTATACTTCATTATTCTGTGAATGAGTTATAAGGAGATTCTCCTAGCTTCGATAATTAAATTTTAATGATTTTCCTATTTGTTTCATTAAAAAAATATATTTTCATTAAAATAGTTATTTAAGATATAACAAACAAATATCATAAATGACAATTCTCTAAAATAGTCCTCTTTTAAGTTTTTATCACAAAAATAGATCTCAAAAATTAAAATAACTAAAATAACACTTTTTATTTTGAAAATTTTAAGTTTTTTTAATTTTTTTTAATTCAAAACCCTATCCCCAAAACTCCACTCCTCAAATCTAAACAAAAAAATCTAGAAGCAGTTAACCAAAAGAGTATAAATGTATATTTAATATAACATTAAGTGTTATTTTGGTCATTTTAATAGTTAAGGTCTATATTTGTGATAAAAACCTTTTAGGTGTATTCTAGTCATTTTCTCTATTATAAAAAGCATTTAAGTAAAAGGTCTAATATATTTTAGTTTAAAGTAATTTATAAAAAAAATTAGAATGTATTTTCTGTCCTCGATAAATAAAAATTCAGGTTATGCCACTGTGAAGATAAGCAGGTGAAGCATATGCTTCGGCAGTGAAGTTAAATAATAGCCTGTTCGGATATTTTTTTCATTGTTTCTAACGACGAAAAAATCTGGGCGGCCTCTGGTTTGTCGTCATTTGTTGAATCAGTTGATAACCAACTATTTAAACCGAATTAATTACAATGGCTGGTCTATATAACCCAAAATAACATATGAAGGTTGTTTTATTTTTCTTTATTCACAGGACAAATCTCAAAGACGTGATACTAGAAGGAAGAGATGCATTCAGATCTGCGCACGGCATGCAAATTTTTGAATACATTAACTCGGATGGACAATTTGCTAAAGTGTTTGATCGTGCCATGTCAGAACCTTCCACCATGATTTTGAAAAAGGTTCTAGAAGTTTACAGAGGATTTGAAGATGTTAATACTTTAGTGGATGTTGGAGGAGGAAGTGGCACTACATTAGGTCTAGTCACTTCCAAGTATCCTCATATCAAAGGTGTTAATTTTGATTTACCTCAGGTTTTAACCAATGCTCCTATATATCAAGGTACAAAACTACTTAATATTTTTGATAAGTTACATAATTACGTGCTATTTTTAGTATCTACGTCTCATAATTTTTTTGTTGAGTTTACAAATGTAGGAGTGGAGCATGTCTCAGGAGACATGTTTATAGAAGTTCCAAAAGGAGATGCAGTGTTTATGAAAGTTAGTATATATGTGAAGATAAAACTTGATATATTTGATTTTTGTTAAAGTCCAATTTTTAATATAACATGGTTAATTTGTTGATAGTGGATACTACATGATTGGACGGACGAACTTTGTATAAAGCTTCTAAAGAATTGTTGGAAGAGTCTACCGGAAAATGGAAAAGTGATCATTTTAGATTTGATTACACCAACAGAACCAAAGAGTGGTGACTTTTCCTCTAACTATATGTTTGCTATGGACATGTTGATGCTAACACAATGCTCCGGCGGTAAAGAGAGATCGTTTTCGCAGTTCGAGAAATTAGCATTTGGTTCAGGTTTTCGTCGATGTGAAGCTGTTTGTCATGCCTATTCATATTCCGTTATCGAATTCCAAAAATAGATTTGGAATTTACAAAACAAGATAATGATTGATCTGGCTAAATAAACATATATGTAATGAATATATTGTGAGGATTGGAGCTTTTTATATGATTCGTATTGCGTGTAATATAGTTTTATGGTCTCAGCTTGCTCTGATTAGTATGAAGCTATATTTTGCATTATGTTTGTGATTGAGCTGTTGTGCCTTGCTAAAAATATTGTTGGGAAATCATCTAAATTCAATATTTTCGTGGGGGTTAACAAACATATTTCAAGATAAATAAGAATATATGATATTTATTTATAGCATAACTGCATCATGCACTGACATCGTATGAATATTAAAGAGGTTTAACACCTTAGATGTTTCTGTTTCTTTAAAAGATAGAGACTTTATAGGGGTTAGTCCACTTATTAAGTAGTATATGGAGTTAAATAAATTACTTATTGAAAAATTAGAAACGATACCTATCTACCATAAAAATAAGTTTACCATACATGTATATAAATTTAGGGTGTGATTAGTTATTTTTAAATAATACTAAAGAGATTAAATATTATAGACAACTTTTTAATGAAAAATTCCATATTTTCGTGGGGGTTAGCCCACATATTTCAAGATAAATAAGGAAATATGATATTTTTGTTTTATTGAATATTTGCATCATGCACTGACATAGTATGACTATTAAAGAGATTTAAGACCTTAGATGTTTCCATTTCTCTAAAAAATAGAGATTTTATGGGGATTAATCCACTTATTAGGTGATATAAGAAGTTTAAATAAAATACTTATTGAAAAATTAGAAATGATGTCCAACTACCATGAAAATATGTTTACCATACATGTATATAAATTTCGGGTGCGATTAGTTATTTTCTAAATAACACTAAGAGATTAAACATTATAGACATTTTTTTATCGGAAAATTCAATATTTTCGTAAGGGTTAGCCCACATGTTTCGAGATATATAAGGAAATATGATATTTTTGTTTTATTGCAGAGTTGCATCATGCACTTACATAGTATGAATATTAAAGAGTTTTAAGACCTTAGATGTTTCCATTTCTCTAAAAAATAGAGATTTTATAGGGATTAATCCACTTATTAGGTAATATAAGAAGTTTAAATAAAATACTTATTGAAAAATTAGAAATGATGCCCATCTATCATGAAAATAAGTTTAACATACATTTATATAAATTTCGGGTGTGATAGTTATTTTCTAAATTACACTAGAGATTAAATATCATAGACAAATTTTTACTGGAAAATTCAATATTTTCGTAGGGGTTAACCCACATATTTCAAGATAAATAAGGAAATATGATATTTTTTTTTTTAATGCATATTTGCATCATGCACTGATATAGTATGAATATTAAAGAGGTTTAAGACCTTAGATGTTTCCATTTCTCTAAGAAATAGAGATTTTATAGCGATTAATCCACTTGTTAGGTGATATAAGAAGTTTAAATAAATTACTTATGAATATTAAAGAGGTTTAAGACCTTAGATGTTTTCATTTCTCTAGAAAATAGAGTTTTTATAGGTGTTAGTCTACTTAATAGACGGTATATGAAGTATAAATAAAATACTTAATAAAAAAATAGAAATGATGCCCATCTACCATGAAAATAAGTTTACCATACATATAAACACGTTTTAGTGTGATTAGTTAATTGTAAATAACACTAAAGAGATTACATATTACAAGTAGCATTTATCAGAAAATTCAGTCTTTTCGTAGGGGCCACATATTTCAAGAAAAATAAGAAAATATGAAATTTTTGTTTTATTGGATAGATACATCATGCACTGACATAGTATGAATATTAAAGAGGTTTAAGATCTTAGATGTTTCCATTTATTTAGAAAAGAAGGATTTTATAGGGGTTATTCCACTTATTAGGTGGTATATGAAGTTTAAATAAATTACTTAATAAAAAATTAGAAATGATGTCCATCTACCATGAAAATAAGTTTACCATACATATAATAACGTTTTGGTGTGATTAGTTAATCATAAATAAAACTAAAGGGATTAAATATTACAAATAGTATTTATCAGACAATTCAGTATTTTTGTAGGGGTTAGCCCACATATTTCAAGAAAAATAAGAAAAAATGAAAAATTTGTTTTATTGCATAGCTACATCATGCACTGACATAGTATGAATATTAAAGAGGTTTAAGACCTTAGATGTTTTCATTTCTCTAGAAAATAGAGTTTTTATAAGGGTGGACTACTTAATAGATGGTGTATGAAGTTTAAATAAATTACTTAATAAAAAATTAGAAATGATGCCCATCTACCATGAAAATAAGTTAAGAATACATATAAATACGTTTTGGTGTGATAGTTAATTGTAAATAACACTAAAGGGATTAAATATTACAAATAGCATTTATTAGAAAATTCAGTATTTTCGTAGGTGTTAACCCACATATTTCAAGATAAATAAGAAAATATGATATTTTGTTTTATTACATAGCTACATCATGCACTGACATAGTATGAATATTAAAGAGGTTTAAGACCTTAGATATTTCCATTTCTTTAGAAAATAGAGATTTTATAAAGGTTATTCCACTTATTAGGTGTTATATGAAGTTTAACTACACTACTTAATAAAAAATTAGAAATGATGCCCATCTACCATGAAAATTAATTTACCATACATATAAATACGTTTTGGTGTGATTAGTTAATCGTAAATAAAACTAAAGAGATTAGATATTACAAATAGCATTTATCAGAAAATTCAGTATTTTCGTAGGGGGGGTTAGCCCACATATTCCAAGAAAAATAAGAAAATATGAAAATTTTGTTTTATTGCATAGCTACATTATGCACTGACATAGTATGAATATTAAAGATGTTTAAGACCTTAGATGTTTCTATTTCTTCAGAAAATAGAGATTTTATAGGGATTATTCCACTTATTAGGTGTTATATGAAATTTAAGTAAACTACTTAATAAAAACTTAGAAATGATGCCCATCTACCATGAAAATAAGTTTACCATACATATAAATATGTTTTGGAGTGATTAGATAATTGTAAATAAAACTAAAGAGATTAAATATTACAAATAGCTTTTATTAGAATTTTCAGTATTTTTGTAGGGGTTAGCCCACATATTTCAAGAAAAATAAGAAAATAGGAAAATTTTGTTTTATTGCATAGCTACATCATGCACTGACATAGTAGGAATATTAAAGAAGTTTAAAACCTTAGATGTTTCCATTTCTTTAGAAAAGAGAGATTTTGTAGGGGTTATTCCACTTATTAGGTTGTATATGAAGTTTAAATAAATTACTTAATAAAAAATTAGAAATGATGTCTATCTACCATGAAAAAAATATTACCATA